CACCCTCCCTACATCCATAAGAAATATCTACTCACGTCATATTATATATATCTACTCACGTCATATATATATCTATATCTACTCACGTCATATATATATATATATATATATATATCTACTCACACCATCCATTAACAACCGGAACCACTCCCCTTTCTCCCATAAACTACAGTATATTTTTAGATGAACCCGACTATATTTCATGCTCTTACAACATGTGCAAACTTTGATATAAAGCGCTCTTTGTCTATATCATTTTATTTTTAACTATTATTTTGATATTATTCTATTTTTATTAGAGTCCGATTTGTTATTTGTAGCACGAGATGCCAGATTACGTCCTCCAGATAATCTATCTAACCGTCCAATTAAAAATATACATGTACTTGGTTTACAACTCTGCATCTGGAAATCTTTAGCACCAACTCTTCTTTTCAGAATATCTTAAGTCTGGATAAATAGATAATGAAATAATTACGTGAATGTTATTTCATTTTGATAAATGCTAAATACGACATCTACACTGCAGACAGACTGGTACAATTTGGTGAGTGAGTGAGTGAGGTTTTACGCCTCTTTCAGCAATATCACGGCGGAAGAAACCAAACATGGGCTTCACACATTGTACCCATGTATGGAATCGAACTTTGGTCTTTTTCGTGACGATCGCCCCGGTTGGTGTAAGTACACAGTATGTTTCTCAAGGTCGCATAATGAAACTCTAGTAAAAGGAGCATCTTAAAGATTAATCGTTCAACTACGGATCATTTACAATCATGACATCTGATTAACGATTTCGGTTTCCAAAGTTCAAATATATGTATTTAATTCGTAAACATAAATAAATGGACATCTCCAGAAAATTAATACAAGGTAAGACTTTAAATGATTTTTTGAGATATATCGTAATGGGCACTTAACATTTGGTTGGTAAGGTATATATAATTGCATATTGATTGTATGTAAAGCTTGTCTTGACCTTTGAAGAGAGTTCGATCTTATCGGGAATAACAAGTAGTCGGGCGTATTTGCTCGTATCATATTTAGCAAGCTCTCGGTCGAATATGGTATTATTGATGCTATTGATTCAGTTCATGATAGTTCTCGTTGTGGGTCATTGACATATTTGCTGTCGGGGTTAGCTCACCTGAATGTAACGCAAATGAGCTTATGTCTTCGGCATCTCCTCTGGGTGAGTGGGTGAGTGAGTTTAGATTTACGCCGCTTTTAGCAATATTCCAGTAATATCACGGCGGGGGACACCTGCAGTGAGCTTCACACATTGTACCCATGTGGGGAATCGAACCAGGGTCTTTGGCGTGACGAGATAACGATTTAACCACTAGGCTACCTCCACCGCCCGGGAACTCCTTAGAAACCACTGGACCAATGAAGCTGAAACTCCATATGCTTGTTACCACCGATGACACCCCAATTGGTCGCCACGGTGAAGTTGCCCAATTGATTCTGAAGCAGTTATATCAATAATCGGATGTTACATATTAGTGAGTGAGTATGGTTTTACGCCGCCTTTAGCAATATTCCAGCAATATCACGACGGGGGACACGAGAAATGGGCCTCACACATTGTACCCATGTGGGTAATCGAACCCGGGTCTTCGGCGTGATGAGAGAACGCTTTAACCACTGGGCTACCCCACCTCCCCACATATTAGTGACATTTGCCATGTCAACAATATTTATGAAATTGTATTTTTTTTTATTAAATACCCGTGAAGATCCGGGTTCGAATTTGTCTTCAGTAACCCATGCTTATCGTTAGCACGGGGTCGGGTGGTCAGGCACGCTGACTTGGCTGTCACATGTCATCGAATCTCAATTGCGTAGATCGATGCTCATGTTGTTGATCGCAGGATTGTCTGGTCCAGACTCGATTATTTACAACCCGACGCCATATAGCTGGAATGTTATAAGTACGGCCTTAAACAAACAAGAAAAAACACCACGATCGAATTTAGAAATAAAACGAACTATACGTCACTTGAAGGCAGGGAACCAGAGACCCGCGCCCCTTTAGTTCAGTAGTTATTGACAATCTCAACCTGAGGATGACGCAGATGTTGTTCAAACATTGGTCAAACAAGGCGAATATGGGTTATATTCTGGTCAACACGATCAGTTTTACGCCCCTCTTCTCCACAATCCTGGATCCGCCCCTGTAACAACCAAGCCAGCGTGCCTGACCACCCGGTCCCGTGTTTCGCCTCTTCCGACAAGCATGGGTTGCTTAGGACCAATTCTAACCCAGAGCATATATCTGGTAGAATATACTGGGTCCAAAATGACTGCTTTCATTACAGATTTCTGGAAATTAAGTCTCTCTCGTCACACGGAGGGACGGTTATTTCTACCTTATTTTTTTGTGTTGACGAAGATTTGTTCAGCAGTATTTCGGATCATGACGGCGGTCTGTATATAATCGCGACTGGACCAGACAATCCAGTGATCAACAGCATGCGCATCGATCTACGCAACTGGGATACGACGTCGTGCCAATCCAGTCAGCGAACTTGACGATGCCTGACAAGCAAGGGTTGCTGAAGATCAATTCTAGCCCGACGATGAAGAAAGGAGTCAGTATCGTAGTGCACATCGTCCACATCTGGGCCCCGTTCCTGAAAGCGATCGTAGCGCTAAGATGATTGTAACTCCCATACTTTAACATAGACTTACAACTGTCGTAGAGCTACGATCGCTTTGAGGAGCGGGGCCCAGTGTTCCATGGCACAATTCTCTTCATACGTGTTGCTTGGCAACCTTTGTCTCATGCTGTTGATGCCTTCGGCTCTTGGTCACTGACTTCAGCATCTGGAGCCAGATTTCTTTGCTTGATGTTTAACGCAACACTCTGCAATATTGCAGCTTTACAGCGGCGGTAATGGACCTGAAAATCCAGTGGTCAACATCATGAGCATCGATCCACGCAAATGGGATACGATGACATGTGTAAACCAAGTCAGCAAGCCTTACCTACGAAGCCCGTTGGTCGCCTCTGCAACGTGACGACAAGCATTGGTAGCTAAAGACCAATTCTAACCCGGATCTTCGCGGGTTCTAAAGCAAGTAATATTTTGTCGGGCAGGTTTTACCTTGATTGTTATGAGCTTACTGTCACAGCTGAACTCCAAGTGAACCTTTCACAAGTCGAATAAATAACATGGTATTGGGCGATGAATTTCGGGAACAATCAACATTAATTATGCTCTAACCAACATGCTGTTGTCGTTGTTGAGGTCAATTTGAAAATAAAACGAGCATGAACTTTGAATGTTGTTCGATGTCAACAGGTTATAGCATTGTCTGATTAATTGTTCAGAAGATAGCAACATTCTCACTGAACGTCATCGGAGATTAATGTGGACTTTGAAGTCCCTCAGGTGTTGAGATTCCGGATACGCTCACCGTTTTTTTGAAGACCTTGCATAGTGACTATTTTATTGTTTTTTATAATTCACACGCACAAGCTTGTTACATAATCTGAACCCTGCGATGGTGAGTGAGTGAATATGCCTTTACGCCGCTTTTGTAATATTCCAGCAATATTACGGCAGGAGACACCATAAACCCATGTGGGGAATCGAACACGAGCAAATACTTTAACCACGGGGCTACACCACCGCCCCTGTCGACAATTTTCGGCATAAAAATTCTTACAATTATGGAAAGGGCTTTGTTGCAAGTATTTGGAAAATATATCTCATGATTATGGAAAAGATTGAGGTGCTTATTAGTGTTGCCCCAAATCATATTGGGCGCAATACAAATTTTGCATATTATCATTATATATTATTATGTTTACCACAGATGTCTTAGAGTATGAAGGAGTTTTGCGATATTCTTGAGAAGAGATTTCTTATGGTTAGAAAATTTGTTTATTCCGCAATATTTCTTAATTTTGCAGAAAGGTTTTGGACGCTATAGCAGTGACATTTTATGCTTACGAAAATTGTTTTTAGTAATGACGGACTAAGGTCTCTTCACAAACCATGTTTACGTTCTAAAACTTGTTTATGTTGTGTACAAGTATAACAGATAATGGTTTCACTGATGTAACAACCTCCCAGTTTAGCCCATGTCGCTTTTCACTTGGTCTCAACTTGAATTGAAACAGATGTCTGGTGTACGGAGTAGAGTTACGTGGAAGATTTAATTAAAATATAAACATGCAAAAGAGTGAGAGAGTGCGAGGGAAAGAGTTGCGCTACCTCTACCATACCTCACCGAAACCCACTCTACGAGCGGGAACATCAACAGAAAATTACAACTTATTTTGCTGTGTTACTTATTGAAATGTTCTGCATCCTGCGCATATCCCTCTTTCCACCTCTCCCCCTCTCTCTCTTAAATTCTCTTTCCCCCTCTCTCTCTCTCTCTCTCTCTCTCTCTCTCTCTCTCTCTCTCTCTCTCTCTCTCTCTCTCTCTCTCTCTCTCTCTCTCTCTCTCTCTCTCTCTCTCTATCTTATGTATGTATGAACAACTAGTTTCAATTGCCGTTAAGTTTAATCATGTGAGCAATCGAAGTTTTCATGCTTCAGATTTAGCAATACTGGAATATGAAACTGCCAACATGAAGAAAAATAAATCTTACTATCATGTCACAGTTAGTTTCTGCGCGGGATAATGTCTTTGTCTATGTTTAACACAAGTGGCTGGAGGGCGAAACGGTGATAGCCGTAGGAGGTGACCTGTCATGTGACAGAATCTCCCCGATGACGTCACCGTTGCACTCGTCACCTCGCCGCTCCTGACATGAATCAGGTATCCATCCATCGTTTTGACAAAAGGCACCTGTTGAAATGTCAATACTTTGTACTTGAAGACTTGTTTAATGACATCAGGCAAGTTCATTTCATGAATAGGGAGGCTGGGATCTGAAATCTTCAAAATTAATATAAACATTTTACACATTCTGTTTACCGGTAACAATTTATGCAACAGAAAAAGCAGGGAACATGTTCCTTCTTCAAATAACACAAATATTAAAGTTGACATGAAGTTAACAGTGGACTTTGTTGACAAAATTAACCCCTTGAAACAAAATGGGCCATTCCCCTATCCTGAGCTCTAAGAAGGAGCAGACGACAATCCGAGCAGACGACAGACGACCGTCAAAGAACAACATGGTGGCCATCCTGACCCTCGCGTTTTGTCTCTCAGCTGTGACATGTGTTTTTGCTTTTCCAAATGGTGCCCCAGCGGAATTATGCGGCAGTCCGCTCGGACGCCCAATGCACAACGAGACGCTACCACAGAGCACTTGCAGCCCGTTTCAAATCGTCGTGAATGCCACCGAATACGGACCACAGCAGCCAATCAACAGTAAGTCTCTGTTTAATCGCCTTCCAAACTAACCGTCTGCACAACCAATATATATTAGGAAAATGTTTCAAGAGATCCATAGATAAACGCAAAAGTTCGTCCACAATGTACATTAAACGCAGACCAATGAGGATCCGGGTTAGAATTGATCTTCAGTAACCCATGATTGTCGTCAGAGTCGACTAACGGAATCGGGTGGTCAGGTTCGCTGACTTGGTTGACGCGTGTCATCGTAGCCCAAATGTGCAAATCTATGCTCATGATGTTGATCATTGGATTGTCTTGTCCAGACTTAATTACAGACCGACCATATTGCTGGAATATTGCCGAGTGCGGCGTTAAACAACAAACAAACCAACCAACAACACCAAACGCATATTTAGTGTGCTTTACACTATGCTCTATTTCCATAGATACAATGTCAAGAAAAACCTTCTTACTTATTTGGGTCATACTATTGGGGTTATTATCATAAAATATTGCCAAGATCAGGTTACGTAAACGCTGTCGCCGAATGAACATTCCTTAGTAAATAGTGTAGTTGTCATTCCATAGTAAATAGTGCTGTTGCTATTCCTTAGTAGAACGTTATTGCCTTTCCACAGTTAACAGTGTCCGTGGCCTTTCTTCAGTAAACTCTGTGATTGCTATTCCTCAGTAAACTGTTATTCACCTTATTCTGTAAACTATTATTCACACTACTCAAGAAAATGTTATTCAAATTACTCACATCACTCAGGAAACTGTTATAATTCATATTTCTCAGTAAACTGTTATTCTTATTACTCAGTAAACCGTTATTCACATTACTCAGTAAACCGTTATTCACATTACTCAGTAAACTGCTATTAACATTACACAATAAACAGTAAAACAGGGTTTTTTTTACGCTTGGAATCATTGGTGCGACAGTTACCCAGACATCTTTGCTGGTCGTACGAGGCAACGTGATGAATTCCGTGGTCAGACTTGGTCACTTTGTTGCTTGGGTGCCAATACCGATCGTCCTCAAAGTTATACTACCATATTGTTTGGTCATACAACTGGATTATTGCCGAGTGCAGATTTGAAGAAGTGAGCGCATTGTTTCAGTCTCAACAAGCAGCGTAATATTCACGATAATAAGTGTCAGGTCTCCGTGGTAACATGTGTCTTGTGAACTACATTTTTAAATATTTAAAAAAATGCAAAACCCGGAGGCGAGTGCATGAAGTACATCCTTGGCAGTTTGAGATTACTTTATCTGGTGTCAACGGAAGATCTGACAGTAACTGTGTCCCCGGAGTAATTCTTTACACGTTTATACTTGATGAATCTATTGCCTGTGTCGAATTGTATAGAGCGTACATGTCATTAACAAAGAATACTCGCGTGATTTATATACAATATGATCGTGTCACTCTGGATATTTTCCAACCAAACAGACTAAATTTACACTTCACACATGCTTGGACTGGTCCAGACTACTGACAGTGCCAGCCCGTCAGAAACCATGCTCCAGTTGAACATGGATGCCCTGTTCGGACAAAGTGAACGGTCTCGAGACCACTAGCTATAGGCTTTGTTCTATAGCATTAAAGCCGCCAGACAGGGTGAATAGGTACAGCTGTCTTAACAACGCATGGTATGGATTTACAACCTTTCTGTTATTTACAACACGGGGCTACTTCTTGCTCCCTCATCAGGTGAATGACAGAAAATGTCAATGTAAAATTGGATGTATCTCTTAATGTGTACTAAAAGGGTTATCTCCCATTTGACAGACACCCAATTGGCAGACACCCAATTGGCAGACACTGAACTAGAAGGTTAATTAGGGTAACACCTGCGGGTATAATGGAACAATCCACTGTCTAGTGAGTAGAGCAGAGTGAGCCTGAAACAGGCTTCGTACTGAGAAGTTTGATTGTAGGTAAATAGAACTTTGTTGTGATTAAATGATAAATGATATCTCTTCTCAAAATTGATTTTACTATCAATTACTATCGAATATAAAAACTGCTTTCTCACTGAGAGGTTTGATTTTGTTTATTGATAGAAAAGCCCCCCTCCCAATAATAGCATATGTACAACAGAAGAATAAACTGTTCAAATTACTGTCTTTTCGTCCATCTTTCAAAATAAATAATATAGCTTCAGTTTGTTCCTGTGTTTTTATTTCGACTATTCCATTATAATGTTTAGGTAACAGGTAGATAATCTGTTCACTGAACTGTAAATGTTGTTGTTTTAAGGTGTCTGCGAACTGGCTGTCTGCGTAATGGGAGGACCCCACTAAAAGTATTATAAAAACCATGTTAGGTTAACTTTTACTAAATTTTATTTTTGTTTATGTGTTATTATTTTCCCCCCATTCTGGCATCATATTTGTATTTTATGTCGTGTGTGTGTATAGTAACCACGTGTTTTTAATCGTAGAATATGTGTTATTTTAAAGTATGGCTAATTTTGACTCCAATCGCCAATGACTGAAGGGATGATGTAAATCCAGCTAGGGTCCATGCAGGTAGCAAAGGTACTGTAAGTCCTCATGGACCCTAGTATGGTGATCTACCTTCAGTTGTTGGTGATCTATAGCCGGTTTTTATTTTGTACTGTCTATAGTGATTTAATTTTACGATAATGTACTAGTGTACAAAATATCTGTGATACTCTAGTATTTTTACTGTCCTTCGATGACAGGGTTTTATGTTCTGAAAATATGGCTGAAATAGTGCCTGTGTGACGCTAACTAATAAGTCACTCACTCACTGTTGAAGTATCAACGGTTTTGATATCTTTATATTAACCGGATGAAAATATTTGAATGACTGAAACAAAAATGTTACCTATGGGGCAAAAGTGTAATTTTTTATATATTATATTTCAATATGGCCTACCATGTTTTAAAATTCTCTCATAACCCTTTTATGGTGACCAATGCATTTTACCAAGGCAGCATTGTTTATATATCTGTAAATGTGTTGGGTGAGAATACAATAAACAATTTCTCTCTCTCTCTCCCTCTCTCTCTGTGTATATCCGATCAGGTACATCCTTTTCGTTGTATAAACACTCTGTACATACCAATCTATACCATCTCAAAACCAATATGTTGTACAAACATACAACTTAATCTCTTTGAACTCTGTACATCACAATCAAAACATATCACTTAATCTCCTTGATCTCTGTACATCTCAATCTGAACTTCCATCTCACTGGTCTCCTGTACGTACTAATATTTGGCTTGTAAATCATATTCTGTATGACGAAGGGGTAAGAGGTAGCCCCAAAACGTCGTGTTCTAACAATAGAAGTTGTAAATCCATACCATACGTTTTTATGTCACCTTCCAACTTCTATATGCCCATCAAGCATCTACATCTGTCTTGTATGACGGGGCTGAGGGAGCGAACCACCTTTTGCTCTCCGGACAGGTGATCTATCCAATACAGCACAGTGCGAGCCAATAGGCAGCATAAGTCTTCGTTATTATCTCATATTGCAAGAATGGCCCTCCCCGACATGGGGTTAAACAAACAGCTCATGAAGGATTAGGACACTTTTTTTTACTGATATACAACTTCATTATTCTGCATAGGCGACGTTTCGACATAGATTCTAATGTCGTTGTCAAACAAGTTGATTTTTGCTTGACAACGACATCAGAATCTATGTCGAAACGTCGCCTATGGAAATTAAAAAGTACTATCTATAAATATTGTCCTCATTCTTCATCTCCTCAACTTCCAGAATGCCAATCAAAGATACCAGCTCATGGTCACAAACTAGACCCTGTATTTTACAGCCGGTTAAAATCAGAGAAGTCCATTCTAGAAACTAGAAATCAGTCAATCGTAATTAAAACATTATATTTTGTTTAGCAGTAGCCAAAAGCCTATATTTTCAAATAATTCATTGTTACAACCATCTACAAATTGACAAATGTATTCAATTATGAGGAAGAGAGCCCATAAATGTCATGAAGTTACAGTTTATCATTCGTTCGTGTCTCGTGAACACGTCCTCTGTTGAGAGATTGATGGCTTCGTGTTTTGTCAAAATGAGAAATCGTACATATAAAGAAGGATGAGGCATAAACACGTGGTTTGGTTTGTGAGAGTTACTTCTGCATAATAAACGGTAAAACGTGCCCAAGACATTCAGATTTACACGTAGTGTATGCTGATATTGGATGATATCGAATCTTCCCCGAATGGGTTTGTTTTGAAAGAAAAAGCCAATCGTCCGTTGATTTATTTTAAGGAATTTGGATTTAGATTAATTACTTAGTTAAACTTTGCTGTTCACAAACTGTGATCACAAAAGTGTTGTGGTTTTTTTTCATTGCAATGTTTCACACCGATAGATCGGTCCAACCTCATCAATAGCGTGTTCGTAGGATTCACTCTGTTCAATGTATAGCTGAGTTAGATCATTTGAATATGACTGACTGAGTGAGTTTGGTTTTACGCCGCTTTTAGCAATATTCCAGCAACATCACGGCGGGGGACACCAGAAATGGGCTTCACACATTGTACCCATGTGGGGATTCGAACCCGGGTCTTCGGCGTGACGAGCCAACGCTTTATCCATGAGGCTACCCCACCGCCCCACATTTGAATATGAAACGATTGTACTGTATTCTGTTTTCGTTAATGTCAAAACGAAAGTGCTGGACGAACGTTTAAGTAATGTGCAAGTTAGAAACCCTATCCAAAATGATTGAGAAACAGTGATACGCTTTCCCATTGGTCACAAAATCACATGCGGGCGCAACCAAAGGCAGATAACCCTTCTATTTTAAAATCCGTACAATACTTTATTTGTATAAACCGAACAAAAACCAATTGAGGTATTTCTGGGGTTAACATGCCTCTCAGGGGGACAAACGTGATTGTTCTATGTTATATATTCCCCGAGTAGAGACCGACACTGATATTGACCAGTGATCAATACATGGATCCCTTTTCACTCCACAGAGCCCCGACTTATTTCAATAACACAGTATTCTTGACAACGAAACGGCAAATACGCGACCAGGATCATTAATAGCACACAAATAATGTCCTTACATATTGTGATCAAAGTGGAGCTCGGTTGAAGATTTTTTTCAAAAGAAGGGGTTTTGTTCCTGTAATAGCTCAGGCTATTATTTATTGATAATGCTCGGTCCTTCAAAACACACCACTTTATATAAGAGTTCAGATCGATTCATGTGATTGTTGGGTTACATCAATGACCGTATATACAACAACGCCGTATTAATCGGTCTGTAATATCAGAACGTGTGGGATCGAGATTCTTGAGCTAAATAGCTTCAGCAACAACAAGAGTAGCCTAATACTAACAATAACATCATTTGTTGATGGGACTTGGATCACCCGAACCCTTTGCTGCATTCACATATTTTGATCAGCAAAACAGAACAATAATCTTATTTATTACCCACGACGGCGAAAATATCGGGGTTCATTTTTTCATACGATGCCCTAGGGCAAAATATCACTTTGTCATGGTGACAGTGTCATGAACAATGCTATGACGTCACGTTTCTTGTGACGTTGCGTTCTACATGCGGCGACGGCGGGTAGCCAGCCTATGCTTGAAAGCAGATTTCGGTTTATTTTCCTCAAATTGACGACTTCGGTAATAAAGAGAATATTATATTCGTGCCCATATCATACTGTGTTTACAACACTCGTGCCTAAATACCAACATAGTATGACATGGACACTGATATAATATCCTCTATTTCTGGTTACTTCGACTATTAGATTCGAAATCCGAAGGGGGCGTTGTACCAGAAGTAGAAGTCAGTGTATACTTTCTTACGAGTTTAACTCTTTTTCAGTCACCATCCATGGCAACGGCGTCCCATTCAGAGGTTTCCTCGTGACAGCTGACACGACGACGGGGATGTTTGACGGTACCTGCCTCAACACCTCCGCCGACGCCAAGGCCGTTCCCAACTGTGGCATGACTCACTCCAGCAGTGTCGACAAAACGTCAGTGACGCTATTGTGGTACCCACCAACCATCGTGCACGTCGGCAGCATCCAGTTCAAGTAAGCACAACTTCATCTACAAGTTCTCATAGATACGAGGTGATAGTGGTTAAAGCGTTCGCGCGTCACGCGGAAGTGCGTGAGTTTAATTTTGCTCCGATTTCAGCAATATTCAAGCAAAATCGCGGCGGGTGACACCAGCAATGGGCTTCACACATTGTACCCATATCTTAACGGTCTTGTCACCTGTGCTCTTCAAAATGGCCTTTTTGTGTCACGTTCTAAATAAACCACGCAGGTTGGGTTCAAGCAGAGACCAGATACTAGAATAATCTATTATATGGTCTCTGGTTCCAGGTTTTGAACTGTTTTCATTGTCATCGCCGCATTCAGCAAGACACACATGTGCCTTTGAATTGCACATACTGATTGCCATAGATGTCAGACTGCTATTGTCAACTGAAGAGCCCTGTCAATCACAATTACAACCTACATTATCACACATAGATTCAGATGGACTGACTGACTGACTGAATTTAGTTTTACGCCGCTTTTAGCAATATTTCAGCAATATCACGGCGGGGGACACCAGAAATGGGCTTAACACATTGTGCCCATGTGGGGAATCGAACCCGGGTCTTCGGCGTGACGAGCCAACGCTTTAACCACTAGGCTACCCCACCGCCCCGATTCAGATGGAATAAACACGAAGTGCATTGTTATCAATTTTCACGTTAATGATGTTTTGGAGCTTCGCGAATTCTCATTTATGAAAACGGTGATCCCATCGGTAATCGAACCCGGGTCTTCGGCGTGACGAGCGAACGCTTTAACACTAGGCTACCCCACCGCCCCTCACGCGGAAGACTAGGCTACCCCACCGCCCCTCACGGTTCGATACCCACATGGGTACAAAGTGTGAAGCCCATTCCTAGTGTAGGGACACCGTGATGTTGCTGGAATATTGCTAAACGCAGCGTAAAACCATACTCACTCACTGTCATAGACCGGGAAGAGGATGTACTCATTGCCTAAACAAGGTTTATAAACCAGGGTTCCATTTCCTCATCAGAAATTATGGGCGGTGGGGTAGCCTTGTGGTTAAAACGTTCACTTGTTACTCTGAAGACACGGGTTCGATTCCCTACGTGGGTACAATGTGTGAAGTCCATTCCTGGCGTCTCCAGTCGCGATCATGCGGGAATATTGCTAAACACCAGCCTGAAACTACAATCGAAGAATTCGTTTCGTTTGCAGACTGTGTACCATACATGTCTTTTATCGGTTTTTGATTAATGACCTTGATAATCATTCCACCTGCTATGCTCAGTTAGGAGAACGGAGGAGTGAGTGGGTGAGTTTAGGTTTACGCCGCATTCAGCAATATTTGAGCTGTATGGCGGCGGTCTGTAAATAATTGAGTTTGGACCGGACAATCCAGTAATCAACAGCTAGAGCATCGATCTAGAACAGAGGAAGGCTGGGAGTAAGTGAGTGAGTGATACCTACGAACACAGTCACAAAATGGTGCTGACAAACCAAGAAACATATAAACGTGGTGAATCGGGATTCGAACCAACGATGATGCTCAAGGAATCGGCACATTCCAGCGTCTACTGTGCCAAGTCGGAAGGACTAAATATATATAAATAAGATATATAGGAATCCTGAATCTTGTTGACAGTTAGTGTTATGAACCACATTGCAATATTGCAATATCGTGACCATTTGTTGTCTCCCGAGACAGCAGCGTCCAGCCAACCTGCGTGGTTTATTTAGAACGTGACACAAGAAGGCCACTTTGAAGAGCACAGGTGACAAGACCGTTAGGATATGGTTATTGGAAAGTCTCATTTGTTGCCTTTAAACATGCGATAAAACATGCTTGAAACGCTTTAAAGAACACGCCCGTCACCTTTTCTTCGGAGAATGTCTGTACTGTCACGTCGCAAAGACATCCACATCAGTAAGTGTCATGTTGGGATTCCTCACGCCAGGTACTTGTCTGTGGTTGATCATACAAAGTCGTTATCTTATCAAAAATTTATTCTCAAAATAACCAAGGTTTATTTACGTTCTAGCTGTTACCAATTCCTTGTTCTTGTCCCAGGAGAATCTAATGACAGAATAATTCAATATAGCATAAGAGATCTACTTTCTTTTTTTCTAAATGTAGGCGGGTAAGTTTGAGCGTTTGGTTTTCAACTTGAAAAGATTTGACTCGAGGTAATGGCGTCCACATTCAAGTACTGCGATGGTGGTCCCTTAGAGAATTGTCTAATGGAAACTACAGGTAACTGGGGTTATAATGGACGAAAGGGGATCATAAATTTGAGTTCGTAATAACATTAGTTCGTTACAAGCGTTTTGAATGAAATAAATATCAGTGGCCGGGACAAAAATAGCAGTTCGTCATATCCGTCAGTTCGTTGTGAGCTTGTACGTTATAAACGAAGTAAGCATTGAGTGAATGAGCGAGTACCCGGTTTAGATTTTCTATGTGGGAATATTGTGATGATCGTTTCTAATAGCGTGATTGGGATATTGATGGAGTATTTGGAGTATTGATGATGAAAGCTGCTTTTGCCTCAGTCTCTCAGACGTGGACATAACACGTTCCTGTCAGTGAGTGAGTGAGTGATGGTGGTGGTGGTGGTGGTGGTGGTGGTGGTGGAATTGGGTTTAACGTCGTGCTTGAGAATATTTCGCTCATATGACGACGTGCATGCGTGTGTATGTGTATGTGCGGCTGCTTGTACTAGCCCAGACTTAAGCTGGTTTTAGAGTGCTAGCTCTGTGAGATACCATGCCGCAGTGAAGCATGAATACTTCACTCAGACACATTACACTGACCCCGAGCCGACCAGTCCTTGTTGTACCCATTAATGCCGAGCGCCAGGCAGGGACCAACAAGTACCATATTTTAAAGTCTTTTGGTATGACGCGGTCGGGGATCGAACCCGCGACCTTCCGCACTCCGGGCGGACGCTCTAACCACTACACTACGGAGGCGGTCTGAGTGAGTGAGTGAAAGAGTGATACCACTTTGCCCCCTTGGCTACCTCATACTACCTTCATACATCCGGACTGTAAGTGAGTCTGGTACAGCACAGTGTGTTATTTCACTCGATTAAATATCGATTACGAAATATGATATTTCATCATTACATCCACAAGAAATGCTACTACTTCCAGCTGTGATATTTTGCGCGGTGAATATTTGTGCAACGTTAAAATACCCTAATATGGTTGTTTATTTCTGATGTGAGTGGGACGCAGTTATCGAGAACCACCATGATAAAGAGTGGGTGAGTGCGTTTAGTTTTACGCCGCTTTTAGCAATATTCCAGCAATATCACGGCGGGGGACACCTGAAATGGGATTCATGCGTTGTACCCATGTGGGGAATCGAACCGGGGTCTTCGGCGTTACGAGCGAACGCTTTAACCACAAGGCTACCCCACTGCCCCAGCGAGTCAGGAGACCTAAGACAACTGGGCCTCTTGTTGGCCATGCATTTGAGAGGATGTTCTAACGGGACTACATTATACTATGTTTCAGGCTTGTGGTCGTCAAGGAATATTCTACATATTGGTCTGATGTTCGCTCATCCGTGCTGACTCCAAGTAAAACAGGATGTAAGTATTATCTGCTTGTGCCCTGATACCCTTAGTCTGTCTCTCAGTCCCTGAACCACAATATTCGCCTTCCGCTCAGCCCTTTCTGCAATGCTTAAAACGAAGTTTAAGCAAGTCTACATTTCCCCTGGTTCTAAATCTCCCATCTCACCGAGGCTCAAGGAATTATTTCTTTCTACCACATTCATATATATTTAGAGACTAAACGTTAGTTTATAATACCCACTGTGTCAATACTATCCCTATGTTCGAGGGATATTGCTCTGTTTAAACAATATCGAAAAGGGAATTCAAGGGGACCATAAATAGTAGTTTGTTATAACGCTAGTTCCTAAAACACATTAACAATTGGACACACAACAACATTGGGATCTTCTGTTATAGTATACTGGAGTTCTGAGTTATCAGATTCATATTGTGCTATTCATATTGTGTTTATTAAGAACCACATACCACAGTGTTTAAAGCATGGATGAAACTATCAGTAGATCGAACTTAGTTCTCGGCACCAGTAGTTGCATTCAACATCGGTTTTAGTTAATTATTTATTTTTTTCTATATTATCTTTTGCACTAAAAATCTGAAAATCTTTTTTCTGAAAATCGCTATGACCACGTTTGCCACCAGATAAGAATTAAATTATTGATTTAGTCAAGTCAGTTAAAGAGGCATTGTTTTTAAAAATATTTAAATGGAGTGTCATCGAAATTTTGTTTTAATAGAGAAGTGGATTCATACCAATTTCTCCTTTGATGGAATGCCCACAATTTGTTGCCAAATCGTTGATAGATAGTTTCCCCGGAATAGCCCGAACTGAAACAGAAAGCGTTAATTTTACTGAAACTTGAAAAAGAATTCCATTGTCAGGTTGATTTTGTTTTGGATCTTTTGGTTACAGTGTTGAGATCACAAGAAATATTGTGTGAGGAATCTATCACTGATCTAAGTTCATAACACTATGACAAAGTTTGACAGATTTCACCGGATACTGATGATTGTATGGGGCAAAACAAAGCTCGACGTCACTCACGTGACCTGCGACCACTGTTGCCTTGAGTGATCGTTTTTATGCATACCTGATTGTTCTTTCGGTTATCGCCCCTTTGAACAGCATCCAAGGTATATCGCCGCTTGTCAGCGTGATCGGGAGGTCATTCCAAAGTAATGCAGGCCTGAGTCCCGATCCACAAAGCATTCGTAACGTTACGACCTGTCGTAACTCTATAGTTTATTATATGCTTTGTAATGTCGTAGCACTACAAAAGTTTTGTGGTACAGGACTCCGTTTCACAAAGCTATCGTAGCGCTACGGCTATCGTAGCGCTGTCGATTACGTCACCAAAACCCATGAACAGGGGTATGACGTTGGTAAATCGAAAATCATTGGCAAACCAGGGATTCAGAAACATTCATAGGATCATGGCTCACACAAGGGACGCAACTCTGCACAACCCAGAGCCTTCAGTGATCATCTGTGGATGGGCAGAGTTTAATGGCTGCAGGATTTGGGTTTCAACATACATGATCAAGACGTCAGTTGAAGTGCTATTTTCACATCCATGTTTATTTTGTTTCAGATTACTCATTGACAGACATCTGGGAGCTTGGTTGGTTCAACCCCGGGTCTGCTGTTGGCGGTCACAACCAGCACGCAGGGTCAGGGCGAGTTCACATGCCTTCAGTGGGCAGACAGTTCGCTTGAGGCACACCAGAATTAAACAGGAAGATTCGACCATCATCTCACCAGACACGACTTGAAGTTCTACGATCCACGTCTTTTATGCATCTGGATAACCTTTTAACGTGTGTTTGCTATAGGTCGATATTGTATCATGCATGCAAGTCAATGGCCTTGATACACTCACTCTTTATGTTAAGTCAAGGACTACCAGCTTACAATTTAAAGCAAAACGTGCATGTTTTGACATGGACTGTTTAGACCATGATTATTGCTAAGACACCAAATTTGAGCCTTGGGGGAGAGGAAGATGATTAAAGCAACGACTTACGTGTTCTCCAGTCGAGATGCGATCCTTATAAGGCAAGGATTAATACTACGATCAACAATAACCACGCTTCGTGAAGACGATCTCCGGTAATTAGAAACAAGATCAGGGCCTGCACACACACAAAAAAAATATCTCAATCTACCATAGTTAATCCCATTCTTTTACGTTGGCTTACATTAGTCGTAGCGCTAAGAACAGTTTGTGCATATTATCCCAGGAACTTAGATGAAACCGCTTGGATGTCTTAGAGACATATCCCAGCTTGTAGCTCTGTCAGGAATGTTTTTCCACTTTGTGCATTGTTTTATGCCGTTGCAGCTCTCACAGGGGTTAACTTCATGACTTAATCTTGATGTTTTCGGCGCCTTGCAACTTCTGTGTTCATTACGATGTGTGAATAAACTTTATTTTTTATGAGTTCTTATAATTGAGAGGGGGTGTCATTTTTGTACTCACATACCCGGTTTAGATTTTCTGTGTGGAAATATTGTGATATTCGTTTCTAATAGTGTTGTTGGGATATTGATGAAGTATTTGGAGAATTGATGATGAAAGCTCATTTTGTCTCTGCCTCAACCTTACTGACGAGGACACAACACGTTCCTGTGAGTGAGTGAGTGGGTGAATGAGTGAGTGAGTGGGTGGGTGAGTGAGTGAGTGGATGGGCGAGTGAGTATGGTTTTACTCCTCTTATTGCAATATTCCAGCAATATCACAGCGGGGAACTCCAGAAATGAGCTTCACACATTGTACCCATGTGGGGAATTAAACCTGGGTCCTCAGCGAGAAGAGCGAACGCAACCACCACTAGGCTAACCAACCACCCTTGACCGATTTAGAAGGGACAGCGTAATGATTGGAGAGCATTCTGTACCAATGGTCGATAACAGATTAACGTTGCCGTCTTTTAACCATTAGGCTACTCTACCGGCCCCATATATTCTTATTGGTGTATGTTTGCGTGTGTGCGTGTGTCTGCCATATGTTTATCCAACAATGTGACGCAACAAATTTACCATTTAAATAGAAATATGACCCAGAATTTATTTGTAAAATAACAAATATATATTCCCTCGCTACATAACAATATTTACGTGTACCGTGACCAATATTAATTTCGTCTGTGGCAGTAAAAAGTCTGTAAATTGTAATATTTACGTAAACACACGCACGCACGCACGCACGCACGCACACACATGTGCCTTTGAATTGCACATACTGATTGTCATAGATGTCAGACTGCTATTGTCAACTGAAGAGCCCTGTCAATCACAATTACAACCTACATTTTTACACATAGATTCAGATGGAATAAACACGAAGCGCATTGTTATCAATTTTCACGTTAACGATATTTTGGAGCTTCGCGAATTCTCATTTATGAAAACGGTTTTCCCATCGGTAACATGAGGGACATTGTGAATGGGTTTTTGTTTAAATCATTGACGCTTCGCAACCGATCGCAAGCGCACGGCAACGTACAAATGAAATAAATAAAAAAATAATGATAATAATCCGCTTCGATATCGAAAAGATATTATTTAAGATTAACCGTTCCGTCGCATTATGGCAAAATCGTTTGAAGGACTCAATTTAGGACATGTCCAGTGTATTAGGTGAGTGAGTGAGTTTACGGAGGTTTACATGCACCACACTCAGCAATATTCCAGCTATATGGCGGCGGTCTGTAAATAATCGAGTCTGGACCAGACAATCCAGTGATCATCAGCATTAGCATCGATCTGCGCAAATGGGAACCAATGACATGTGTCAACCAAGTCAGCGAGCTTGACCACCCGATCCCGTTAGTCACCTTTTACGACAAGCATGGGTTACTGAAGATCAATTCTAACCCGGATCTTCACGGGTCCCAGTCTAAAAGGGGCCATGGGTAAGCCCGAGGCGCGGCAAGTCGACCTGTAGTCGTGCCTTGGGAACCTCAGAACCCATAATTGTTGATCCCTGGGTTCGTCAGCACCACATCAACCCTTGTTGGTTTCACCAAAGCGTTAAAGGCGTGAGACGTGTGGCTTTCCTTCGACAATAAACTGACACGCTGGAATACTAGTCATACACTGACTAACTCACTCACTCACTCACTCACTCATCCACTCACCCATCCACTCACACACTCACTAAAACTGACAGAAAAAAGAAGTGGTTATTCCATGGTGCTTTGACGGTGATCCACGCAACAAACTTACCAGGTTTGGGATCTTGAATTTGCACTGTATCGGCGATTGTTTTCAGTCTAGTAACGTTCTGATAACGTTTGAATTTGTTTGGAAAATCCAGTTTTTTAAGTGGCAGTCGATGTGATGTCCACTGAAGCAGCATGCACGGAAAGCGAGTGAGTGAGTGAGTATAGTTTTACGCCGCTTTTAGCAATATTCAGCAATATCACTGCGGGACACCAGAAATGGGCCTCACACATTGTTCTCATGTGGGGAATCGAATCCGGGTCTTCAGCGTGACAAGCGAACGCTTTAACCACTGGGCTACCCCGCATTTGTTATAATTATTATCCCCTACAAATCTTGCAAGGCCACATATTGTTTCACCATTCATTGAAATAATCAGACAAAAAACATAGCCGACCACAACTGACGTGTATATGTTGAACCCCAAAAAGTAAATGACAACTCTATTATGCCAACTAAATTGCTTAATTACAGTAAATGTGAAAATTGCTGTAATCGTTGCACAATGACTGATTAACTCTGATGATTTATCCTAATTAACACCCAGCTTTAATTACACACTTAAACTGTTGAAGCATGTGGTAGAAGGTTGACATACATACGGAAAATACACAGGGAAATTCCATCATTTTTAACAGACAAGCTCTTGGAGGAAATTTGCAAAGAGATTTGCTTTAAATTGGTAATAGTAAATAACTGTACACTTAAACTTCACACAAATTTTACATTGGTTATAGTAATAACTGTACACTTAAACTTTTCATTCGCTTTACATTGGTTATAGTAATAACTGTACACTTAAACTTCACATAAACTTTACATTGGTTATAGTAATAACTGTACACTTAAACTTCTCAATTGCTTTACATTGGTTTTATGATAACTGGACACTTAAACTTCTCATTTGCTTTACATTGGTTTTATGATAACTGGACACTTAAACTTCACATAAACTTTACATTGGTAATAGTTAATAACTGTACACTTAAACTTCACATAAACTTTACATTGGTAATAGTTAATAACTGTACACTTAAACTTCACATAGACTTTACATTGGTTATAGTAATAACTGTACACTTAAACTTAACATAAACTTTACATTGATAATAGTTAATAACTGTACACTTAAACTTCACATAAACTTTACATTGGTAATAGTTAATAACTGTACACTTAAACTTCACATAAACTTTACATTGGTTATAGTAATAACTGGACACTTAATCTTCTCATTTGCTTTACATTGGTTATAGTAATAACTGTACACTTAAACTTTTCATTTGCTTTACATTGGTTATAGTAATAACTGAACACTTTAACTTGAGAGTGTCCTGTCAAATAGTGATTTTCTGTAATATCCTTTGGTCTTCATGGGGACAAAGAGTGAACTAAATGATTTGTTTCTTGATGAAATACAGTGAGTGCGTTTAGTTTTACGCCGCACCCAGCAATATTCCAGCTATATGGCGGTGGTCTGTAAATAATCGAGTCTGGACCAAACAATCCGGTGATCAACAGCATGAGCATCGACCTACGCAATTGGGAACCGATGACAAGTGTCAACCAAGTTTGACCACTCGATCCCGTTAGTCTCCTCTTACGACAAGCATGGCTGAAGATCAATTCTAGCCCGGACCTTCACGGGTCTGACGAAATACAGCCTAAGAATATATTTGGTCGGACAATGTATGCAAAACAAACCTTGATAACTTAATCTTGTATATATATTTCGATTTTTGTCGTAAATGTGTACCAACCGAAACTGAGAAATATGTTTTCATACATTGGTAGTTATGGGAGGGTTACATACGTTGAGTGACATCAACAATGAAATGTCATTACGTATGGTGCCATAGGGACTGTTATCCTCCCCGGCTCAAACCTGAGGTAATGAAATAAAGTGGTATTGTAAAGCGCTGTAGCTGTTAACCTTTCCAGCACTTCCCTTGGGATGTTCTGGAGGCTTGTCAATCCAACAAACGTCCTTGTTCTGTACTCGCCTTACAAAACGGGACTGTTAGGTTAGTGAGTGAGTGAGTGAGTATGGTTTTACGCCACTTTTAGCAATATTCCAGCAATATCGCGCCGGTTGTTAGTCCATTGGAATTATACCGTTCGATCATACCACTGACGATTTGGGTTTGCCACAATTTGCGATTGATGGTCGTGTGAATTACTTTGAAAACGTACAACCAAGTCATTTAGATATGTTTCACAAGGAATTACCAGGATCTGTAACATGTTATGCCGTGTCCGGATCCGCGTATGTTGGACACTTTGATAGTTCAATGTGTGAATTTGGGACGGACAAACCCGTGAATATCCGGGTTAGAACTGATCTTCAGTAACCCATGCTTGTCGTAAGAGGCGACTAACGGGATCGGGTGGTCAGGCTCGCTGACTTGGTTGACACACGTCATCGTATCCCAATTGCGTAGATCGATGCTCATGCTGATGATCACTGGATTGTCTGGTCCAGACTCGATTATTTACAGTCCGCCGCCATGTAGCTGGAACATGAGCATCGATCTAGTCAAGTGTGTACGATGACATGTGTCAACCAAGTCAGCGAGCAAGACCACCCGATCCCGGGTCAACTCTAACGACAAACATGGATTTCTGAAGACCAATTCTAACCCGGATCTTCGCGGGTTCTAGCGCATGTGATGTTTTGTCAGTCGGGTTTTACGTTGACTGTTGTGAGCTGTCACAGCTGAACTTCATGGGCTGAATCTCACACCACCTCACCTCCAATGAAGTAGTTAATAGAGCAGTGGAGTAGGCACAGTCCCCTGCAACGTCCCGTTTCAATAAAACCTCTGCCTGTGTTTGGTATTATGTTCCCAGTAGTCTGTAGCGTTTTACTAAGTGCCCTACAGTTGTGTACCTAATCAACTGTAAAGCTGATCCTCACTAAAAGTATTATTGTACTGACAGTCACCCAAGCCAGAATTTACAGAGAGATGCACCGGGTTATAGTCAAGTATCCACGCTATGGTGCCAAGGGTAATGGTAAGTGTGACAATCTGATAAATGTCAGTCATCAAGGATTTTCCTTGATCGATGAAGGTTTATATGGTCGAGGCTATGATACATTGTCCCAGGAATGTTTGCTATGATATTTGACATCTAAATCTTTCAATGAATATACTATACGATAAACAACGCCACCAAAAATAGCCTTCGATAACATGAACAAGTATATCAACCTGT